TAATTTGTTGTTACCATTTCCATAAAAATGGGCTAGACTCAAATGTTCTTGGGAACTGCTCCATTCTTACCATCCCAAATTAGAAGCAATTCCCCAAAATCTTCTTCGAGCACATCCACACCCTAATCTCCTCTTCTCTCTCTGTGATTAGTTTGCTGATCAGTTTTCTGATTGCCCACCATTATTCTAGCCAGCTGTGGGGCGGCTAATGTGGCGAATCAGGGGATCTGGGGTAGACAAACAGGAGGGAATTTTAAGCATACTTGGGGGGCAAGTGTGTATTGGTATTGATTTTTTCACAGCCTGTTTTGCTCTGCTCATCATTTGGCTCCATTCCCTTTATATTCATTCACTTGACACTTTCCCATATTTGCGCTTTGCTTTGCAGCTATCCTTACCAACGATGATGTGCAGCATGTGACATTACTGAGCTGCTTGCATGCACGCCTTGTTTTCCCACGTCCTGGAAAAGACATGACTCTTTTTAGAGTCTGTTTTGTTTTATTTTATTTTGTGAGGAAGATCAGCCCTGAGCTAACATCCGATGCCAATCCTCCTCTCTTTTTTTGGCCGAGGAAGATTGGCCCTGGGCTAACATCCGTGCCCATCTTCCTCTACTGTATATGGGACGCCGCCACAGCATGGCCTGACAAATGGTGTGTCGGTGCGCGCCCGGGATCCGAGCCTGTGAACCCCGGGCCACCCAAGCAGAGCGCGCACTTGACCACTACGCCATGGGGCCAGCCTCTAAAGTCCATTTTAAATGGGTCATATTAATGCGTAATTAGTGAAAGACAAACATAACCGAACAGAGTACCTATTTTAGCATTTGAAATCCCCAAGATAGGTTTATGATAAATACAAGACCAAGAGGTAATCAGAAGGCTTGGCTTGTTCATTAGTGCCACTGAACATAAGAAGCTATTGATGGGCGGGCCCCGTGACGTAACGGTTAAGTGCTCGTGCTCCACTGCTGGTGGCCCTAGTTGGATCCCCAGCACGCACGGATGCAGCCACTTGTCAGGCCATGCTGTGGCGGCGCCCCATATAAAGTAGAGGAAGATGGGCACGGATAGCCCAGGGCCAGTCTTCCTCAGCAAAAAGAGGAAGATTGGCATGGATGTTAGTTTAGAGCTGATCTTCCTCACAAAAAAAAAAAAAAGAAGAAGCTGTTGATTTCCCTTAGCTGTGCTTTGAACACATCAACAGCCCACAGCACATTTGATTTTCTGACCTAGATGCTATAATGAGTTCAGGCCACTGAAAAAAGACATGGTCACTGTAAAAGGAACTAGCCCCTGAACATGGTCAAGGACCTTATTATCAAATGTCTAAGGGTGAGGGATAAGAAAAGAAAATGATTAGTAAAAAGAAAACTCATTATTGGGCATCCACAGTTTATTTTTGGCACTAATCTCAGGGGACAGAGATTTGGAATGAAATGGCATGGCCTCAGTGCTACTTAAGAAACTGATAAACTGTATGGATTATGTCAAAATTTGCCCTGTGATGATGATCCTTATGGTTTATGTAGAGAAGTATCAATGAACTGTCAGTTAACCTGAAAGAAAAATAATTGATACACACATCATCCGTGTTTACAAACATTTCTCTAGATTCAGTTCCCCTCAACGACCTAACGCTAAATTTATAAAGGCACATTAGGCCAAACTGTACTGTCATGTTAGGCCTCAAAATATTTTTCTTCCTTCTTTTTTTCTTCATTTTACAGAAAGCTATATATCTATTCATAAAATGCGGCAGATTGGGACTCAGACCTAGGGATATCCATTCTGGAGTGTTTCCAAAGGTGGAAGTAAAAGGTTAAAAAGAAAGGGAGTGAAAGCAGACTACACTTTAGGATATTGTGGACACAGTCAATCCCTGACACAAGTCTTCTCAGCCAACCTCCTCGTGTGAATTTGCTGTCGACACAGTCTTGGCTCATTGGGCAGCACATTGGACGAGTTAAGTCAAGCCTCTTGAAAATCACTCGGGTCATGGATATGGAAGGAAATTTCCATTTGGTCCGTGTTGACCATCTTGGCTGTGAGCAGGTTAGACCAGGAAATTCCATGTCTATTTTTTGTGGGTCCATCTTAACTTGCCATAGGGAATCAGAACGACCGCTCCTGATGCTGCCTAGTATGTATAGTGTGGTCTTTAGTTGATAATTGTGACAGTAATGAGTATTTCTTTCTGATCTGAAGATAGTGCAATAACAAGAATAGTGGAGAGTGAACTTTAATTACTATGACAAGCTTTGTTGTAAGCTTTACATGTATTAACTCATTTAATTTTCACAATGCTCCCATATTATTATTTTCCTCATTTTTTTCAACGAGTCTGGCACAGAGAGGTGCAAATTGCTTATATTTCCCCCTCATGAAAAAAAATCTCAATAAAGGCAAAGAGCAGTGGATCATTTCAAACTTACCACAGCAACAGCATCACTAACCAGGAGAGGAGGCATATCTAGGACGACATAATAAGCCACACTGGTCTACAAATAAATGACGGTCATAATGGGCATGGACACTGAAATGGCCAATGGTAGATTCCTAAGAAGAAAATGTGAGAGACATTTTACTGTTCGAACATTTGAAAAGGAAGCCAAGAATACAAGAATTGCATCCAAATGGGATATTTTCTTGTGAGCAGAAATGGTGATTCTCCTCAGAGTTTAGAGCAGTTTCTCCAAGACATCTTTCTTTCTCTCTCTCTAATTCATTAAGAAACTGTCATCCTGAAATAAACAAACTCGCGTGGTCTTTGTTTTGAAAAAGTCAATTATATACACTATCCCTGTTACCAAACCAGCTGTGTTTGCCTCCTGGTGAGTTAAATAAGACTCTACACCAGTGGAAGTTGTCTCACAAAGTAAAGTGTATTTGCAGCAAATAGGAGGCCATGAGGAATCATTTCCAAAGTCATGGTGTCCCTGAACAAAGGGAAGCAGGACCTTTTATTTCAGATGGGGAATGAATACTCAAAAGGGAGAGGTGGGTATTCATTTGCACAGGCTCAGTTGGAAAACATGCTTCCACATACACTGCAGGTTATGGTAATGAGGCCTAAGCTCCTCCTGGAGAGATCTTAGCATTAAAAATAAGGCGAAGAACACGGGTGTAGCTCTTGTGGTGAGGCTTGGTCAGTTTCAGGGTGGTTGGTGGTTACATCTCCTTAACATACAAAAAGAAAAAACACAACTTGGATAAACAGTGAAATGCTTCCAAACCCACCCTTGAGTTTCTGAAGCTGCCTAGTCGGTGACATCCCCACAAGCCAGGAGAAGGCTAGTAGGCTGTTTCCCAAGAGACCTGACCGGGTGTTTCTCTCTGACCCTCTGCCACCTATTCTAATTGTTTCTTTTCTTAAATATGAACCAATATATGAGAAAACTTGCTCGCTTTCAAATTGTTAAATATCTCAAATGTGCAGAATATAACAAGGATTCCATGTACCACACATACCAGGTACCATATTTGTTTCTGACTTCTTTTAAAGAGATAAAATACTATAAACAGAACTAAAGCTTGTGTCATTTTCTTTCTGATTTCCATATTGTGTTTAGTGAAGATTTTCCAGAGCATCTAAGGCCTGATTGTTTTTTAGTAGAGATGGACATTATGGATAGTTGTTTCTGTTTTGGTTTTCTCCATTTGTCCCTAATCTGACCTCCTTAAGGGCAACAGTGCTTCTTTTTCATTTTTTTCTCCTCTAAGAATTCAATACATGTTTGTTGAAAAAAATAATTTTGTGAAGGTTTGGATTTAATTTGAGGTATCTGAGCTTTGGGTGGCACTAATTTGCATGGTTTAAAAGTGCATTAGTAGGGCCGGCCCGGTGGCTTAGCGATTAAGTGCACGTGCTCCGCTGCTGGCGGCCCGGGTTCGGATCCCGGGCGCGCACCGACGCACCGCTTCTCCGGCCATGCTGAGGCCGCATCCCACATACAGCAACTAGAGGGATGTGCAGCTATGACATACAACTATCTGCTGGGGCTTTGGGGGAAAAAATAAATAAATAAAATCTTTAAAAAAAAATAAAAAATAAAAAAAATAAAAGTGCATTAGTAATAAATGAAACAATTACTGTTATCAGATTGTGTTTAAAAAGTGATTATCTTACAAAAGTAGCAAGCTCATAAGAAAAGGTACATTCATCACATGATGGTATAAATTTTGACTGAGGACATTTAAGGACCAATTCTTAACGCTCTATATTTCATTGAATTTTTGATATTGGTAGGTCCTTAGGGATTCCACCTCAGGGCCACTCTCATTATTTGATCGCTGAGAAAACTGAAGATTGGCATAGTTTCAGTAATTTTCTCAAATGACTCTCAACTACTGGAGTGTGGGGGATCAGAATTGGCTACCTCAAAATATGTCTCTTTACCTCGATTATTTTCTCTGAAAGAAACTTTAACCTCTCCCCACTAGCTGCCTAAAAGAATTTAAGATAGAAGGCCTGTCCCCAGGACAGGCCATTCCCGTAGATCACTCTGGGTATGGATAGACTGGGAGGGTCCTTGCTAAGCCCATTCTTACCAAAGCTCTCAAAACCAAGTAAAAGTAGAAGTTACTCTTTGTAAAAGACATTTACATTCATAAGGAAAATCTCCATTTTTAAATGCATCTCCCTCTCTGTACTGGGAAGAAGGGGGGATGACCTTATCTCTAGAAACTCATCAATGTGGAAAGCAAGGACTTAAATATGCATACTGTTGTTTACTGTGCTTTTCTGGTAATCTCCCATAGCTGACTCCTCCCACCCCCAACATCCTCCTTTGTCTTACCTGAATATGCTATTTAAGATGACAACATCTGCCATTTTGTCGAGTCACTCAGTTTCCCTGGTCTCTCCCATGTATACATATTATAAAGCTTTATTTGATTTTCTCCTGCTATTCAGTCTCATGTTGATTAAATTTGTAGCCCAGCCAGAAAGGACCCAGGGTGGGTAGAGGATAGTCTTCCTCCCCTACAAGAGTCAAATTAGAACCTAGGTCTCCTGACTTGATATTAGAGTGCCTTTTCCATAGTCTGTTAATATGTCAGTTGTTTTATACATATCTAAGATTTTGAAGACTTGCATTCAAGATAGTGATGTGGTTCATCAAGGATGAGGGTATGTCCTGTTGGTGTTTGTACACCAGTGCATAGCATTGTGCCAGAGCCAGAGCCAGCATGTGTCAAATGAAAGGATGAGTGTCTCTCCTGGGTAACCTTGGGAAAATCACTTTATCTTTCCAGTTCTCACTTTCCTGACCCATAAAGGGGGAACAATATTTGCTTTACTTATTGCACAGGTTTTTTTTTTTAATACACATCTATGTTTATTTATTTAAAAAATTATTATGGTTTTTCAAAATGGTAACAACTATGATTATATATATATACACACACACATTGTTTTATTTAATATATTGATAAGTCAATATTTTAAAGTTTTAAAATACATTTAAAGCTTTAGATGTATCAATTATTTGTGTATTTATATACCCATATATGACTAAACACATACATATAAAAGTATATTGTTAAATACTTCAATGAAAATCATTATATGAATGTACAAAAGGAGTAAAGGAGTATAATTAGAACATGAGTCTTTTTTTCTGTAAAATGACGAACATTTTATGTCCCAAATAGAAGAAATTCCTTCTGGTCACACACAACTGTTGATAGATTTTTTGACATACTCTCAAATCATATTTTAAAAGATTCCTTACTTTTTCAAAGAAGACATACAGATGGCCAACAGGTACATGAAAATGTGCTCAACATCACTAGTCATCAGGGCAATGCAAATCAAACCACAGTGAGATATCACCTCACATCTGTTAGAATGGCTATTATCAAAAAGACAAGAGTGGGGCTGGCCCTGTGGCATAGCGGGTAAGTGCACGCGCTCTGCTGCTGGCGGCTTGGGTTCAGATCCCAGGTGTGCACTGATGCACCGCTTGTCAAGCCATGCTGTGGCGGCGTCCCACATAAAGTAGGGGAAGATGGGCACAGATATGAGCTCAGGGCCAGTCTTCCTCAGCAAAAAAGAGGAGGATTGGCATGGATGTTAGCTCAGGGTTGATCTTTCTCACACACACACAAAAAAGACAAGAGATAACAAGTGTTGGTAAGAACGTGTTGAAAAGAAAACCTTTGTGTTCAGTTGGTGAGAATGTAAATCGGTGCAGCCACTATGAAAAACAGAGAATCCTCAAAAAATTAAAAATAGAACTATCATAAGATCCAGCAATTCCACTTTGGGGCATTTATCAGAAGAAAACAAAAACACTAACTTGAAAAGATAACTGCACCCCCTGTTCATTGCAGCATTATTTACAATAGCCAAGACATGGAAGCAACCTAAGTGTCCATTGATGTGGATGAATGGATAAAGAAAATGTGGTATATATACAATAGATTATTCATTCAGCCATAAAAAAGAATGAAATCTTGCAATCTGCAACAAAATGGATGGACCTTGAGGGTATTATGCAGAGTGAAATAAGCCAGACAGAGAAAGACAAATACCACATGGTCTCACAGGTATGTGGAATCTAAAACAAACAAGCAAACAAACCAAACTTATAGATACAGAGAACAGATTGGTGGTTGCCAGAGGTGGGGGGCAGGAGGTGGAGGGTGGGCAAAATGGGTAACGTGGGTCAAAAGGTACAAACTTCCAGTTTTAAAATAAGTCCGTCCTAGGGATGTAATATACAGCATAATGACTATAGTTAATAATACTGTATTGTATATTTGTAAGTTGCTGAGAGTAGATCTTAAAAGTTCCCATCACACGAAAAAAAAATTCATAACTGTGTGGTGATGGATGTTAACTAGACTTACTGTGATGATAATTTTGCAATAAATATAAATATGGAATCATTATGTTGTACAACTGAAACATATAATTTTATATGTCAATTATTTCTCAATTAACAAGATTCCTTACTCTTGAAAAAAATTTGTTTCTAATAACCATTGTTGTTTATTGCTATGTATTTTGACAATGTTGCCTGTAAATATTTCTTATCTTTAAATATTTATGACAGGGCCGGCCCCGTGGCTTAGCGGTTAAGTGCGTGCGCTCTGATGCAGGCTGCCCGGGTTCGGATCCCGGGTGCGCACAGACGCACTGCTTCTCCGGCCATGCTGAGGCCGCATCCCACATACAGCAACTAGAAGAATGTGCAACTATGACTTACAACTATCGCCTGGGGTTTTAGGGG